AAGTCGCCCTCTGAGCGCATGTGCCGGCATCAAAGTTGCTGACGATGTGCCCGGGCGGCGCGTCTTGCAGGAGCTGGTAAGAGATATCAGTAATCAATTGCAATAGCGGTCAGGGGGAGCTGCATCACCGACCTCTAACGTGTTGTACTGAGTGATGCGCAGCCTGGGCTTCTTGGTCCATGGGTCTTTGGCGACACCAAGTGCCGCTCGAGAAATCCTGTTAGACGCAAATCATATCAGCGACCGCGTCGATGACCGATGTCATTCGGGGGAGTACTCGCCCGTCTTTTATGAATACAACCATGTTGTCGGCCTCCGTCCTGCCCCGCTGCACCGCATCAGTCGACGACACCTTGATCAGCACTTGGGCACGTGCACCGAACACCAGTATCGGTGTCTTCTCTTTGCGCCGGTTTTGCACGAGGATGCGGAGGGTGAGCAGGGTGCGCCCGTACGCTCTGTTGTCGCGTATGATCTCATAGCTGGCAGATGCATGGGTCCCAGCTAAGGTGTTCACATAGCGGGCGTGCAGCCCCTTTGGATCGAGCGTGTCGATCAGGGATTCCAATCTTCCAAATAAATACGCCGTTAGAGGGCTGCACACACGTCGCGGAGGTACTGAAATCCACTTACTCGCCGTCAATGCGGCCATCGATGGTGGTCCAGCAGCCAACATTATCATCATGCCCGTGGGCGAAGAGCGGGTGGTGGGGGAACCGCTCCTCGGGGTCGGGCTCAGATTGGAACGCCATGGTCGTCGGCGGGCGGGCGAACACCTGGACCTCACGGCGTCTATGGCTAATTAGCCTGCCATACCCACCCCCCTTTGCCTGGCTAGTTAGCCTCCCTTCCCCTTTAGTACGCGCAATCCTATAAACCTGCCATAAATGCCGCGAAAGGAAACCCCGCCTCCTTCCTAATACATATGTCTACGCCAAATCAGCATGGGCGTACCGGAGCCGGGCGCTTCCCCTCCCCCGTGCCTGCCCGAGGTGCCGGTCACCGGCGCTAAGTCCTCCACGCCACCCGCGCCTTCGAGCTCGCTGTCCGCCACAGCGAGCTCGCTATCTCGCTCGTTCCTGCGCGGTTTTCGCTCGTTCTTTTTGTAATCATATAGTGTGGGTGATTATACGAGCGTCTAGCGATAAATACCAGGGATATGCGCGGTCAGGAGGTCTTTTACCGGGAGAGGAGAGCGCGCCGGTGCACGGGGTCCTCTGGCTGCCAGGCACATCCATCAGCAGCCCCCTGGCCGCGGGCGGGCACCTCGGCCTCGGAGCTCATATGCCCGGACTGCCGGTCGTCGTCCTCGAAGGCCTCCTCGCTGTGGCACACAACGTGCTCGTCCCCCGGTCAAGGAGCACTTTAGAGAGCGGGTTTTCTGTAGTAGATACCATCACCAATCTATTTTTATTAACCAACAACATAGAGCCTTCATAGACATATGAATGGGCCGCCCACGACGTCAAGCCTGCCCCCCGCGCGGACCGCGTTTGCCACGCTTCCCACCCTGTCCGCCTTCCGAGTTGTAGCTGTATTCGACGAACTGGAATGTGCCGCCGGCGGGAGGAGGGGCTGCAAGTGAGTTGGAGGTGATCGGCGAAGACGCTGAGTCGGCGCTGACCGCCGATGTCGTGTTCACGATGGACAGCGTCCCCGCCCTGTCATCGAGAAGCGCGGGATCAATAGCGAAGGGCGGGGGCATGTGCCACTCATGGAGAGTGCCGCCCGCGCCGGAGTATTGGGAAGGCGTCGTGACCGGGGGCGGCGCGAAGATGAAATCAGACGTGTGAGCAGGGAAGAAAGGAAAGGCGTGCGGCGCGGCATGCGGCGTGGTGTGCGCCGCGGTTGTGGGGGTGCTGGACGCCGGCGCGATGAGCGGGACACCGGGAGTCGCAGTGGCGGACGCGCCGTGGCGCGCAGTGCTCTGCATCGCGGGACCCGGAGTGGGGGCGCGCGAAGAGCTCGTGCCCAAGCTTGGAGCCACCGTAATTGCGTTCACCCAGGGCGCGTTGCTGACGGCGGGCGCATTGCTGACGGCGGGCGCGTTGCCGACGGGGGGGACATTGCCGATCGCGGGCGCGTTGCCGATGACAGGCGCGTCGACGGCGGTTAGGGTTAGGGTTAGGGTTAGGGTTAGGGTTAGGGTTAGGGTTAGGGTTAGGGTTAGGGTTAGGGTTAGGGTTAGGGTTAGGGTTAGGGTTAGGGTTAGGGTTAGGGTTAGGGTTAGGG